AGAGGGAGCAGGAGAGCGAGAGGGAGCAGGAGAGCGAGAGGGAGCAGGAGAGCGAGAGGGAGCAGGAGAGCGAGAGGGAGCAGGAGAGCGAGAGGGAGCAGGAGAGCGAGAGGGAGAGCGAGCAGGAGAGGGAGCGGGAGAGGGAGCAGGAGAGGGAGCAGGAGAGGGAGCAGGAGAGCGAGGGGGAGCAGGAGAGAGAGGGGGAGCAGGAGAGCGAGGGGGAGCAGGAGAGCGAGGGGGAGCAGGAGAGCGAGGGGGAGCAGGAGAGCGAGAAGGAGCAGGAGAGCGAGCAGGAGAGCGAGAGGGAGCAGGAGAGCGAGAGGGAGCAGGAGAGCGAGAGGGAGCAGGAGAGCGAGAAGGAGCAGGAGAGCGAGAAGGAGCAGGAGAGCCAGCGCAAGAGAGGGTGAGCCAGCGAGCTAAACAGAGGGAGCCATGGGGAGAGAGAGCGAGTGAGAGAAGGAGTAAGAGAGAGAGGGAGGGAGCGAGAGAGGGAACATATGAGAGGGAGACAGGCAATGGGAGGGAGAGAGACAGGGAGGCGAGCAAGAGAGGTGGGGGGGGAGATAGCAAGGGAGGAAGAGCAAGAGAGGACGAAAAAGGGAGCATGGTCAGTGTTTTGGGTCACTGATTTATCATTTTCTTACATTCAAGTATCGACCCAAATTTCCCTCAAGTTTGGCGTCGATAATGTAACAAGACTCCTCCCCATCGTAAAATTGCCGCGTTGTCCTCCGGCCAATCATTCCTTCGCCTCTGTCCGCAGATGCCATGTTGGGCTTCACTGTCATGCCATAGGTGGATTTTAGGGCAAAGCCGCGGGTGGATTTTACAGCCACTTGTCTCTTCACTGGGCCTGATTGGACACAGGAAGACACATCACATACTGGACTTTAACATCTGCTAAAAAGGTAGTTGACTTTTTCCAAAGGTAAACTACCCAAGGGTAAATTTCACTATTAAAAAATGAAGAGGTTATTTAACATTCTTTCCATTTCCACAAAAAGCTCCAATTTCCTATAATTGTCAAAAAACTAATGTCGCTCTTTTGCAACAACGGCAACAATTGGGAGTGTTCTGTATACCGATTGTACAGAACGCTCGTATGACATTTGACATCAGGTATGTCACATGACATTTCTTTTTCATGTGATTGGCTCATCGCTTTTATCAGCAGGTTTTCATTTATTACAACCCTGGGAATGTTCATGCGGCAATAGCAGGCAGACCCTCCCACTTAGCATTCTCACTTCAGCGGAATGTCCTGTCTTAATATCCACAAATCAAAAGCCAATACTTTGATGTCTAAACTGCCTGCGAACTTGTTTTTATTAACTGTGAAAGTAGAAATGTCCTTTAAGATGCAGATACATGGACAGATCTCTCATGGACAATGATGGAAAGCGAGAGACTCGGTCACCTTTGCATGAAATATGCCCTGTCTGTGATCTTTACCCCAGTCAACGTGTAACACAAAAACAATAAAGGGCTCATTTGCTTTCACATTCGAGATTTCACGGCCAAAAATTCTATGCATGTGCCCATCAGCATTTTTGGCTGTCACTCTGGTATAAACCGTTGGAATCTGTCACATTGCCTGCTAGAACTATGAACATGACCACAAGCATTAATACTGCACAAGACACCCAATACGTTCTGCTTGTTCTGTACCGGTAGTAGTGGTTATGTGCTTCTTGTCCTCGTCTACATCAGAACCAGAAGAAATGGTTTGGACATCGTCGCTGTCATTGGCATTAGTCTGGGTGGTGGGCTTCTTGTTTGCCCCACTGCCGACATCACTCCCCGAACTGCTGGACAAGGTCAGCACATCCTGGATGGCACAGAGTAAACATCAGACATGGACTGACAGCCTGTATGAACGTCAGTGTTACCCCAAAATGTATTATTTCCTGTGTGTATGTGCCCTTGTGTGTCCATGTTATCTAACAGATGTAGCCTGCTCTCTAAGATTAGGAGTGTGCAGAGAAATACCTGGTGATCCTGCCAGTCTGTCTTCTTTGCAATGAGTATGTCATGCACAGGTCAGTTTGCATCCCTTGGAGTGGCGTATTGTAACTCCTAGAAGCAACAAACGCATGGCATGCCTGCATCTCCTGTGGTCAGTGTTGCGGTCGCACCCTGTTTGATTGACAGCGACTCCAAGCAAGAGTACGCAGACAAACATACTTGCTTGCTGTGTGAAGTGTATAGACTGCCCAGTCGCCTGCTCACTTTGCAGACATGCCAAGTGCGGGGACGTCAAGGGGAGAAAGCTGCAGCCTCACCCTGGTTGGGCTGATGTCGCAGTGTGTCCTGAGTGTAAGGGAACCAGAAGGAGGTGGCGGAGATCCCAGGCAGCACCTGGGCCTATTCAGGAGAGGGAGGGCAGCCAGGTGAAGCAGGCAGCAGAGTAGAGCATCCGGCAGAGTGGAACAGGCAGCAGTATAAAGAAGGCAGGGAGATGCCTTCACGTGTGTAGGGGCGGATAGGCCTGTTGGGTGTTTTGGGCACAAGGTACGGTCCCTGGAAAATAGAGATCTGGGCCCAAGTACTACACTACAGAGGCCAGCTCTTACCTACTGTGGAGATGCCCTTGCCAAACGTATGTGACATGTATACACTGCCTGCCCACTTACTATGCAGACAGGCTCCACAGCATACAGAAAATGGTACACGATGTATATTTGTAACAAAAGTAAACGTGATAAATATTTGCTGTATTAGAATGTGCATTTTTGGTAGCGTGTTCAAAAAACTTTAAAGCAAAACAACTGTTGTACAAAAAGATTTAAAGACACTGTCAACCCATTAGAGACCAGCAGTTCTGAATGCCTTTGACTTAGGACAAAGGACTCCTATTTATCCAGGACTGCACATAGGTGAAGAGGTTTGGTTCTTCCAATTTCTTTGCAAAGAAATGTTAAGGAGACATAGCCCTGTCAGGTGACCACCGATCTCGTGGACTGTGTACCCGAGAAGCCCCAGAGTCCCATATTTATAGGTGTGCACAATGTATTACCGATGAAGGTTTTTCTAGAATGCTTTGCCAGCCATACCAGTATACAGTACTATGAAGAATGCACTTTGGTACTACTATAAATCTGCAGCCCAGTTTACATTTTCATGTATAAAAATGAAGGTGGTTAAAAGAAGAACTCCAGGGAGAAGTATTCTTAACCAATGTTGTGGCTCCTCCGGTCTACATGGGTTAAGTGCTCGTTTTCACCTAGGGATAAAAAATAAAATAAAATATACTCACCTGAACCTTGATTACATCAAGTCCAATGCAGTGTATAGAACACCAAGGTACAGTCCATTGCTGGAGTGGAGGGGAAGAGAGGCTAGACAAAAACAAGTACCTGCCCCTTGCAGTGTGGTGATAGCCCCACTGCAAGTGTTACCGTTTCTCCCCAGAGATTTTCTTTCATAAATGATTCCATATGGAATGCCAATTGGTTTATTTTTTCTAGACATTTATAATGCGGATGGATTTGTTTCAAGCTGCTTAGAAAGTAGTTTTCTAATACCGAAGCTACGGGTTCCCTCCGAGTACTAGTGCAAGCACCACCACAGTGGAGGGACATGTGGTCTCTGAAAGGGTCATGGTCAGTCAGAGGCAGCCAATCAGTGGCTTTACCTGGACATCGATTCATGCCATTTCACAGAGCCCACACGTCCACAGCCTCCAATAGGCAACAATTAGAAATCTATTCGGTGGATTAGGTTACAGTACAGACGAGCGGTATAGAGCTATTTAAAGCTGAACTCCAGGTCCAAAAATGTTCATTTAAATAGATTTCTCAATAGTCCCATACGACAAATAATGTTCATGTGCACCAAATGTATTGCATTGTAGTGGTGACATCATCACTGTGCTGTACATAGTCTGTGCAGCGAGAAGAGCTGTGGGAGGGACCCAGCAGCAGCCACACCCAGGAGGGGGTGGAGATCAGACCAGTCATCCTTCACAAGAAAAGTGAGTAGCAGTGACCGGTCCCAATTAGAGGAAGCTCCTGCATAGAGGCAAAATTTCACACTGGATCACTGCACAGATCTGGAAGTAAAACACAAAGCTCACCATGATTCAAGGAAGAATACACGAGTCTTGTATTAAGTGACATTTGCTTATCCCGGAGTTCAGCTTTAAATTCAGAGGAACAACTCAAATCAAAAGCAAAGACATGAATTGCTCCCATTGAAACACAATACTGTACATTTTAACCAGAACATAATGGTGATAAATATATACACCTGACATACACATAGAAACGAGGCCACGTGACAAGCTGTAATTAGGATCATTCCCCTTCAGCAGAAAAGAAGTGACAGGATGGCAGGTCGCAGGTGACGTGACACATACAAGCTCTTTGCTTACTTCATTAGAGTGGGCATTGGACTGGCGTCTGATCTGGTGCATGGCGGTTTTGCTCAGTGGCCTTTTGATGCCCTCAGGCTTAGCTGGCGTTGGATTATAACCATACGATCGATTGCTCTCCCTGTGTGACAAAGCGGATGGAACAATAATGAAAATGAGAGCAGCCATTTATAACAATAGCATCCATGTAATACACCATAGACGGTTGCCCATGGTAACAAGATGCTCCTTTGCAGTTTCTACTTACTACAGGAACAAATAGGAATCTGATTGGCTGGCATAGGCACCACAGAAGATGCATTGTTCGATAGAAGCCTTGTTCTATAGACTATTTGTGTAGGCGTGTAGCAATGTGCACTTACCCAGCAGGCTTGCTGTCTTCAGTATCCTGTATTGGAAGAGAGAACACAGGTCAGAGTAAAGCTTTCTAAGTGCACAGGAGCTAATCAGAAGGAGCACATCACAATGGATCTCAAATCCAAAGTGTCATAATCAGTACATCTCTGCAATGCATGCAATATTTGCCCATGGTTAGTCTGTTTAAAAATGCTGCAAGAATAGAAAAATGCCTGTTGATCCTGCCAAAAATTCAGCGGGCTTTCAACTTCAGTGGCAACACTGCCACTGGTGAACTGAAATCCCGAGCAGCGTTGTCACACCTGCCTAAGATCTCCTCTCCTGGACCCCAATCCCCGTGAGATGATGAGAAAAAGGACCCAACCTGCCAGTATCGTATACTCACCAACTTGCCCTCCCTTGCCACCTTCCAGCTGCAGGAGTCCTCTCTAGGTTGGCTCTGGTCTGGGAGTTTACCAGGGTGAGTGATTTCACTGCCTCCATAAGTGTTTGGGCCTTCTCCAAGTACTGTCAGTTGGGGGAGGTCACATACTGCCCCATACCCAGAATCGCAGATGCATTATAGCATGGGTTCTGATGGATCAAGAAGGTGGTAAGGAGGAGTGGATTGAGGAGTACCTTCCAGGGGGGAAGGCTATCAGGAAACACTGAAACTTAGCTTTAAATGGGCAAAGTAACAGGGTCTCTAAGGCTGAAATCATTGTTTACATTGTGTTAAATGTTTGCAACGTTGAACGATTAAGAGTGAGTGTTCCATGGAAATCAATAATGAATCATTGTTCAAATCATGTACCATAAGCAAAAGGGCAAAACAATTTAGACCAGGCAGCGTATAACATGACCGAGACCTGGATTTTGTATTGAAGAATGAAAAATCCCGGAGTCTCCCTTTAGTAAATAAGCATACAGGGAAAATGTTTTATAGACCTCCGTGGCAAGAGCCATTTATTGAAGGTTCCCCTGTCCCTAAAAGGCAACATAGAAGTATAAAAGTACCTGTGGGGAAGGGGTAGTTAGGTACAATACTCGCCATTCCCCAACTTCAATAGTGCATGGGGTGACCTCCTCCTGCTGACTAGATTCCTACAAATGATGACTAGACCGATGAGATGAGAAGACCTTACAGCAGTGTAGGATCCTCTTCTCGTAAGATTTGGTATACTCAACATTCTCCAAGATCTGACTGATATTTGGGGGAAAGGCTTGTAACTATTTGTTCCCTATGTAGTGTGGAGGGAGGGGGGCAACATGGAAAGCCCTTAGATTGGTGGCCAGGGTGGAAGTAATTGCTTACATTGGTGCCCAGGGTAGAAGCAACCCCTTACATTGGTGGCCATTTGTGGTTTGTACAGGCTTGATACTGCAGTTGTCTTGCACCCCCAAGTAAAAAGCCCTGCACTTCAATAAACTCCTAATGATGGGCAGGATCATGTACATGGATGGAGTAGCTTTTAAACTGCAGATAGCCCATAGTTTTAACATGGAACTGACCCAGGTGTATGTCAAGCTGGTCAGTCTTTGTTCATCATTCATAGTTTGTCCCCATCAGTTTGTGTTTGTTTTGATTTATAATAAGGAATAAGATACCCCATTATAATAAGTTAAAGGGTTATTAAACCCTCAGCATGTTTTAGCATATATCTACTGCTAACAAGCAGTAGATATATGCCAAACGATGTAAAAAAAAAAAAAACTTTTTCAAAAGGGGGTCTCTGCCGCGCGCTCCCGTCCGAACATCTGAAAATTTCTTGGGAGGCCGCAAAGGAGTTTGGGGCGGGCGCATGCGCACTTCAGATGTTCGGCCGGGAGACACAAGGTAAGTCTATGGAGCAGCTTGTACTCGCACAGACTCTGCAGGACATGAGAGAAGAGGAGGACAGAGGAGTCAGAGCTGGATCGGAGACCCGCACCCAGCGCTGGAGGGACAGCTGAAAACTACAGGAAAGAAGAAGATCGGATTAAAGGAGAACTATGGGGTCAGGGCTTTTCCCCATAGTTCTCCTTAGGGTAACGGGAGGACACAAACTAGCGTTCTCCCGTCACCCTAAGCTCAGTATACTGCGAGCTACAGCTCACGGTATACTGAGACGCCGCAGCTGGAGCGGATCCCGACATCGATGTCTAAGTCCGCCCAGCTGCGTGACAGCTGGCTCTGCCTATCTAGAGGCAGAGCCAGCTAATTAGGATTCAGCAATGAGGTCACTGACTGGGTCTTTGGGCTTCTATATTTCAGTAAATAATACAACAAAAAGGCTAGAGCGCACTCACTAATGGGTAAAGGACCTGTTACGCTTATAGATGTGTGTGGTCTAACTGTAAATGAGCAGGAGTACAGTGTGCAAGCTCTATCAGAAACAGGGATGGACAGCGTGTAATGACAGGAAGCCAGGTGTGTAATGACAGCGTGTAATGAGAATATAATGGGAATACCCGTCACGAGGGAATACCCACTCAGGCTTGACAAAGAGGCAGAGCCTCGAAACGCGTAGCCGTCAGCATTGGACACTGCCCCTGTCCATCTCTTCCATTCGCCTCCGTTTTTGACATACCCGAGACACGCGCGGATCGACTCCTTTGGTCCCCGAACGGTCCGGCAGTTGACATTACCTTATACCCACACAGCCGCGGCTCAGCCTGGCCAGCTGAGACCGCGGTGTTTAAACAATCACCCCCGACAGCTATTAGACTGCTCTCCGACATCTCCAAACGAGCTGACACGCTGTATGCCGACACCAGCAACGTGAGTAAAGGTTTCACAGGAGTGGCGCTTTTTCATCTTTGTGATTTATGTATATTTCAGTGTTCACAAACCTACTCTGTGAGCCCTCATTTTCTTATAGCACATGGTCCATCCATTGGTCCCAGAGATATATATAGAAGGCACAAACTGCTTGAAAAGTCAAGTTTCTAACCAGCCAACCTGCACTCTCATTAAAACAAAAACCTGAATCAGTACCAGGCAGCTGTGGGCTGCTTTGCAAACAGAAAAGAAGTCCTCCCATGCTGCCCCTCCTATTATGAGTGCCCCACTGTGCTCACAGGTGACCTTGATTCTCCTCTGATTCTGGTCCTACAACGTGCCCACGGCACAGTCAGCATTTCAGCTGTTTGTTTCTTGATCGCCAACATGCTTTTCTGCAAGTAATGCAAACTCACAAAGCCGGCCTGTGGTACATCGCTCACCACTGGACCCTTTTCCTACACCCTTGACACATTCCTCCCCAGTAAGGGCTTAGTGATGACCTTTATGATTAAGCCCCTATTGATGAGAAACATGTCGGAGTAGAAGTAGAATTAAATGCCTGTAAGCATTACAATTACACATGACTTAGCAGGCACGTACTTAACATGAAAACCATATCTGATGCCACTAGGTCCACTTTGATCAATGAATGAATACCATCATATCTTGTCCACTTGGTCAGCAAGCAAGGGGTGCAAAGGTTTTGCCCAAGCACAGAGGGGTGCCATACTGGATTGATAAGCACTCCAAAGTACCTCTTTACCAATTCACTAAGAGAGCAGCTAATTCAAGGCTGAATCCTGATTGAAAACTGAAGTGTAATGTATGCATACAATACCTTCTCTTGTTCCCCCTCCCCTCTGATCAATAAGCAACAATAAACAAAGAACTCCCGGATTTTTTTTTACTTAACCTTTGAAGTGGGGCAACCCCTGCTCTGCAAGGGGTCGTTTGTGTCTAGGTTTAAAAAAAAAGTTAGACTCACCCGAAGCACTGAGCCCAATTCTTCTTAGACGGGTCCTTCCAATGTCTCTCCCCCTCCTCTGTATTGGTGTAAGGGCCCTTAAATCATCATGTTCTATACACAGTGTACAGTATATACCTGAGGACGCTGAAGAAGATTACAATGCCGCATGGAGGGGAAGCCAGGCTGGAGAGAGCTCTGTGACAGCTGACCGGCTTGGAGCTTCAGGTGAGTATAAATTTCGGCACCTAGACACAAACGAGCGCTTAACATTTGCAGTGCAGAGGTAGCCCCACTGCAAGGGTTAATAAGAAAAATCCTGGCGTGCTCTTTTACATTTTTTAATCAAACCCTTTTGCTTTCAAGAAATACCTTTTTTGAGACCCAGTGACTGACTGGCAAGTCACTGGATCCTTCTGCTGGCCTTTACGCAACAGCAAGATCGAGTTGCCAGCCTCCTTCCTTGAGCGCTATATAAAAATGACACATGCGTAGCATCCCTTTAGGTGAGCATCTTTGCTGGCCACTGGGTGTTGCAGACTTTAGCCCGAGAAGGGATGCTTTGGAGGTGTTTATTCATATTAGGGATGCACCGATACTGTTTTTTTTGGTATCGAGTACCAATATTTTTTTACGGTACTCGGCGATACTGAATACCGATACCGGAGGTCCCATTAAAGAAGCCAGGCGGCGTGTGAAGACTCGCCACCCGGCTTCCTGATTAGCAGGGAAGCTAATGGAGCCGGCTTTCTGGCCAATTAGGAAGCCGGGGGCGGGTAATGACTTGCCGCCTGGCTTCCTGTCATTACACGCTGTCATTACACACCTGGCTTCCTGTCATTACACGAGTCATTACACGCTGTCCAGCTTCCTGATTGGCTCGGAAGCCGGCTCGATGCTCCCTCGTCACGAGGGAGCATCGAGCCGGCCAATCATCGAGCCGGCCAATCAGGAAGCTAGGAAGCGTGTAATGACTCTCTGCCCGGCTTCCTGATACCAGAAGTTTGGGTATCGGGCTAGGTATTGGAGCATTTGGGCGCATACTAGTACGCTCCCAAATACACAGTATCGGCACCAATACTGATACTAGTATCGGTGCATCCCTAATTCATATAATGCTTGGGAAGAGCAGTAACACTGACTGACACCCACACATGATGAAGAGCAAAAATGATTGATGACAGGGGACGCTAATGGCTGTAAAAGATAATCCAAAAGATAGCACAGATCAGGAGGAGAGAGGGTGGATGATGATGGAGGTCCTTCAGAGAGGAAAGGAAGGCAGGCTCAAGATAGCTGCTGCAGTTTTAAAGGGTTATATTGCGAAGACGAAAGTTTGCAGGGAATTGAGTAATCAGGTGTCAACACAAGAAAGCACTTGCCACAGGTGCGGGGGGAAAAAAAAAAGTTGAGTAGAGTTGAGCTCATCACCGTCAAACCCTGGAAGGTCTACAACTGTGTGGACAATGCACCCTCCTTCAGAAAACAGATATTTGTATAACACCAGTTACCAGTGGCCCAATCTCACCTTGGCAGGTTCCTCCTTCTTCCCCTGCTTCTCTATATCTGCTGCATCCCCCAATTTGAGAGACGACCGGCTATCAGGGTCCAAAAATGAGTCCGTGTTAGAGCTCAACCAAGAAGCAACCTTGTTCTTGGAGGTCTCCTCGGGCAGTTTGCAGTCTGTGGTCTCCTCTTGGCTGGTCTGTCTGGCTAGAGCAGAGTCCTTAGAGGAGGTGTCTACAGTCCCGTTCTCTTTCTGTCCCCTAGTTTGCCGCCGTGTAGCATAGCTCCGCCATACAGAGCTGGTTGTGATGTCCTCGTTCTTTCCAAAATTGTCGTCCGAACTGTCGTCTTGGGACTCGTCCTGATCTTCTGTGCCGCTGTGTTCTTCCCCCTGATGCTTGATGTCTACGCCGCTGCTATCCGAAGACGACTTGACATCACTTTCGTAACCGTCCTTGTAGTTTTCTACACTCTCGATGTGGTCCAAATTTGCAAAGTATTCATCTCCCATCTCCAACCCTTCCTTGTCTGCAAAGTCATCTGTCAGGATTTTACCTGTGAGGAAGCACAAAGGAAGGGTTTATCCAATTACCAAACTGGATGATCTTTATACTGTAGGTGAGCTATGATTCTTATGAATTAAAACAACTTACTATTCATCTAATTCAAAAACTGTTTAAAGTAGAACTCCCAAGAAATGTTTAAGATAGTAAAACCGGTGTTCTATCAAATTCTCCAACTTGTCGAGACATCCAACCCCCCTCATGGACGCATCAAGCTCTACAATCTGCGCCAGTGCGGGCACCCGATGCCACAAGCGCAAGAGTTGAAGAAATGGATGACAATTTCAAAGGCGCACCTACGGCAACTGGAGAAGTCAACGAGAATGGCCGAAACCCTGACGATGGCACACGCGCACTAGTGCCATCACGTTGAAATCTACAACGGACATGACGTCATGAGTTGTGGATCTCGACGAGTTGGCCACCTCGACAGAACACTAGCTTAGATCCTCTGTCAGCTTTATGTTGCCCCACCCTCCAATAAGTTTCCCCTTACTTCTTTCAATGACAGCTGTTAAATGCGGGAATTTCATTCAGAAACTGTGGGGCAGACACAGACAATAGACATCAGATGTCAACGCACATCAGCATGCACGTCTTAGGACAATCATTGAGATGCATTTCCATTGATTTCAATGAAAAATGCATCAAACAAAAACGCAAAGGTCTGAACCCAGCATATGTTTTGGCTGCAGGGCCCCTTTATTAGGTGTGAGGTTCAGGCTTGTGTACGTGCATATATCATGTACACACGCACACATATACACAGTTTGCATAAGTAGTGCATGATTAATCCAGGTTGAAGTTAGCTCTTCATTTTTAGCTCCTGTTGATCACTATAATTGTGTATTGACCACTGTAATACCATCACGCTCAACCTCATTTGTGGTGTCACCAATTTCTGCCACTTTCTACATTCCTTATATTTTATACACGCTGTAGCACTTGCAATATTACAGTGATTACTCATGAGTTTGTTTGTTCCTTCTTCATACACAGAAATTTTATTTAAAAAATATATATATTTAATAAAAAATTTTAAAAAAGTAGCCCTACCTGCATATATACAGACGAAAGACCCTTTTGCAATGTCATCCAGACAACGAATACCCCAACCTTTGTTTTGCGTTTTGAAAAGCTGGAGACGCACTTGGAGGCCATGCTGAACCAAGCGGTTTGTGCATAGATTTCGATTGTGATTGCATTTACATCTCTTGTTGCATTCATACACCCTGCGATAGAAAGAAAACACAAATGTTAGGGCTGGTACAGGAGACAAGTGCTTGGACATTCAGTTCACTGCCGCTATTCATATGGGCAGGAGCTTACCGTATATACTCGAGTATAAGCCGTCCCGAATATAAGCCGAGGTACCTAATTTTAGCCAAAAAAACTGGGAAAAAGTATTGACCCGAATATAAGCCGAGGGTGGGAAATGAGGCAGCTACTGGTAGATAGATCATATGACCGAAAGGAGACAATTGCCCTAGCGAATAAGAGAATCTACATAAACAATCTGCCAACTACCCTTCAATGACATTACACAAGATGGTGTCACAGAGTACAAAGCAGAGGTGGCAGTGGCTTGTGATAAGTGTTGTAATCCAGCTAAAAACAGAAAACCACAGCAAAATCCTATCACAGTACCCACTGCACTCAGTTATAGTCATCTGGCTTTACCCCGTAGGAAGACACTCCTCCAGACGCTTGTGTTGGTATCCAGCTTGTGTGTTAATCTGCGCTCCCGGCGTGCAGCCAGTGGCCTCCAACGTCAGTTGGTGACAGGCACATTTTGACCTGAAATAAAAGAAGCATCGCTTTTAGACATAAGACCGACTCAGAAGATAAGTCATTAATAACTGGCAGGATGAAAGGCACAAACCCTACTGACCGCACTTCCCAGTCCAATCACAACCACCTCTGTTAGCAGAAGCCCCCCAAAGACCCTCGTCATTCATGGTTTATTCAATTGGAGCTATGCCAATACCATGGCAGAATCCTAGAACTTCACTGACTACAAGCAGATTGAATGATATTCAAAGTGCATGATGTTGAGCAGGAACCAATGGGCAGCTGTCAGACGGTCAATGCAGATTACAGGATGTTGACCCACCCACCCACCCCGTCCAAGAGCTGCTAAGCCTCTTTGAAGTACACAGCCTCTGACACATTTATGGGTATGTCATTACATGTACTCAGTATGTTTGTCTGGTTAGGTATGGAGTGGTGACAGGATCTCTTTAAAGCAGTGGTTCTCAACCTGTGTAAACTCAGGACCCACCTTTGGTCATTAAGTCCCGGCGCAAGTCACACTGCGATGGAAAGCACAGCAGTGTGGGCTGCTGTGCTGTGACGGAGCTCCATCCATATCTGCATTGCTTGTACAGCTCCCATGGTCGCCTGTAGAGTTGCTGGGAGCCAGAATGGGATGTCACTCCAGTCCAGGCACCTCTACAGGACATGCTAGAGAGCTATAAGCTATGCATGCATGGATAGAGCTCCCTCGCGGCCATACCCCCAGCCCACCCCACCTCAAGTCGACACTTGGCGCCGGGCAACATATGTTGAATGGCTGCTCGGTGTAAGAATGGACGGTGCTGCGCTAGGGGGAGGCTGAGTAGCCTCTTACCTAGAAAAGTGGAAGGCATATGGCGACGCAATGAACAAGGGGGTCGCGACCCACTTTTGGTTCACGACCCACCAGTTGAGAACCAAGGCTTTAAAGTATACCTGCTATGAATGAAATTTGCAGGATGCCACTGTTAGCCTCCTCCGAAAAGGCCATTGCCAGTTGCATAGCTGTGTCTACCTCTATTACTAGAGTCATAGACAAGAAACAAGCAAGCAGTAAACAAAACAATAGAGAAAAAGTTTTAGATTAGAATTGGGTCAGTGACTCAATGTAATGAAGTCAATGGTTCACCATTCATGCATGTAACACTTTGTCCCTTCTTGCTTGGAGTTGAAGCAGAGCTAGCATGGTTGGTGGTGTTCCCCTAACACCACCGCAGTTCTTAGGGAGACAAATGTATAATGAGTGCGTAATGACATTGCTGGTCACTGGCAGCAGGCACATCAGCGCCATCATTGAGCACAGCAGGGTAACGGTCAGAACAGGACATGAATGGCAATGTAAATGCAGAATAGACAAGCAGTAAATGGACAGGCTGTGAGTGGACAGATCAGGCAGGCTGTGAATGGACCGAATAGGCAGGCCGTGAATGAGGAGAAGGTGAGTAAATGATAGTAGTTTCCGTGCTCTTCTGGAGCTCCCCCCATAAGAACACCCATAAACTGGGCTTCAGTCTGGGGTGCAACTACATGCAGCCCCAGCAGAGATAAAAATGGGCGTTTAATGCACAACGGGGCTACAGATCAGAACCAGACCATGTGCTGCATGTACTTGGCCACCTGGGAGAATCTGAGATTTTTCAGTTGTGGTGATACTGCTTCTTTAAATTTGCTTTACTGGGGTAAACATTCCTTCCTGATCCCTTACTGGTAAACACATACCTCCCTAGACCAACACACCACTATGTATTTTAGGAATGCAAATAGCCCTTTATATTTGCTTCTTGTACGACAGTATCCACCCAGTCTCCCTTTCTTAAAAAAAAATCTACGGAATCAGATAGAAGCAGGTCCTGGAGAAGCCGATCCCACGCTTTCACAGCTTCTAAAGCAAAGCATCTTTGCTGCAACTAGAAATAAAACTGCTTATCTTTCAAGCACAAAGGATGTCCTCATGTGACAGGCTATTTACCGTATTTTTCGCTCCATAAGACGCACTTTTTTCCCCCCATAAGGGGGGGCAAAAATGTCTGTGCGTCTTATGGAGCGAATCCCTGTTGCCCGACGCCCCAGACATGCAGTAAGTAGTTTTTTTTGTACATTCAGCCCTGCTCCTGACAAGCAGAGCTAAATGTACAGTGGGAGCCGCTGCTCGTTTAATACAAGTGATCTAATTAGATCACTTGTATCAAATCGAGCGGTGGCGATCGTTTGTGGGCCCCCGACGTGGTTTTCGAGGTCCCCCGCTCCTCTGGGGGACCCGTGACCACGGCAAAGGAGCTCACCATAGAGCCCGTAGAGCAGACAAAGAACGTCTGTTCTTCGTCCGCTCTGTGTGGTCACTGGGACCGTGGCGCTGTAATCACAGCGCCACCTGTCTCAGCTATGACTAACTGCAGCTATTACCGGCTCCTACCCTCCCTGTGTCCTATGGTCAGGTGCGCCTTATGGAGCGCGAAATACAGTATATAAATGAGGTGATCCTAACTCCGCTGGACTTCTCTATTTTTTGGTTTTGTTGTAATCCAAAGTCACTGCTTGACTACCCCTGTAGTGAACTCTTCCAAACAACCAAAGGAAATCCTTTACAAGCAGGAAACAAATTGTAGCCCCTTGATTACACACAGCCATATGAAGGTATACATTGAATAAATTCTTCCTAAAAAAATGAAATTAAAAAAGGTTCTTTCCTGCCTACTTTCCTTCGCCAAAAGCGAAATCGGCTGTAAATGTATCAAGTCCTTTAAAACACACAAATCTCCATATCTAACCTGTCTCGGCATCCATCCGTGCAGTCGCATCCCACCAGAAAGTCCTGGCCCGTGTTAATATATACTCCTCTGCCGGGAATGCGCTCCTTACTATATGCCACCTGTGGAGGAGGGGTCCTGTCTATCTCATTGACGCAGGAGAGCGGCACATCCTCCTTTCCGTATGTGATATCGGGGATATAGTAGAAAGGTTTCTGCGGCTGGAACTTGCGGTCCACCAGAACATAGGGGTCCAAGCAGAACATTTCCAACAGCAGCATGTCACAGGTTGTTTCGAAAAGGTAACGCTCGATCTCAGGCATGGTTCGCAGGCTGAGGCCGCACGGCGTTTTGTAGAGGACGTGGAATCCCAGCTTGCGGTTAACCCGCCGCCGTGCGGTCATACGGCGGAAGTCATACAGCAGTGGCACCAGCAGAGGGTTCCTGATCCGATGTGATATGTTACGGACACGGGATAAGCATGCGTGGCTACAGTTGTGGCGTAGGTAAAACAGCTTCTCCGTGGGAGCCTTATAAGTGATCTCCGTCGGCAATGCATTTGTCTGAAGGACTTGAATCTGTGCCACGTTGGCCACAAATCTATATGAAGGAAATAAAGAGATGAGATGAATAACAACATCCAAACTGAAAAACACAACTCTGGTCTACTTAAAGGAGAATTATACGGAGAGTGAAATACCCTCATTTCCATAATTAGAGGCGACGTGCGACACTGAAGCTGTCACGTCGGCTCTATGGATCGAGAACTGAGCGATCAAATACCGCTTATCACGGAGTACCCAATCATCTCCCTGCAGAGAGCGGTGACTGTCAGTCACCGCTCCCCGAAGGGATTCCCCCCCCCCCCCATTCGTCCAGCGCTGACTGGAGGGATGGACAGGGAAAGGGGTGGGCAGATTCAGCTGTCAATCGGGTGGCAGGGTGGATCCCGATAGTATTGTCCGGAACTTTCCAGGCCGCAGCATGGCTCTGTCAGCATATAGCAGGCAGTAGCCCGGTATATGCGGAGTTTTGGGTCACAGGAGGACATAGTAAATATCTTCCTGTGACCCTAAAGAAAACAGTGGCCAAAAAAGGTTGGACCATAGTTCTTTTAAAAAAGCAGGAATACTTTCAAGGAGGAACGCAAGTATTTTTAGAGTGCACATGATTATGTTGTACCCATTTCCGTTATTGTATTGTATATACAAAGGGGGGAATTTATCAAAACTGGAGCAGACAGATCTGGAGCAGTTGCCCAGGGCAACCAATCGGGTTCTCTCTTCAGTTTGCTGAGGTAAGATTTGAAAATGAGACAAATCTGCTCCAGATTTTGATCAATTCCCCCCAAAGTATATAAGGGTTCCGGCACAACTCTGTTTTGCCCATCCTAATTCAAGGAATGCTATTGTCGCAGCCTAGGTGTATAACCTTCCATCTATCAACATTAAACTTCAATTCGCACTCCAGGCAGATATGAAAGACACACAAGAATGCAACTCTGTATTAATATATCCTTAAATGTGTTTTTTTTTTTATGCAAGCAGTGTAAGTATCTGAATTTGACTTCATGTCAGTGTCTTGCAGTCCCTGTACAGCAGAGCCAGGGGGAGGGAGAAGCAACACGTAAAGCCAATTAGCTTTGCTGTAGTGCAAGGCACAGGCTAATTGGAAGAGAGAGCAGAGATGAGCTCATCAGTCTGCTGCTTCTCCTTTACCGTCCAGTCACAGGCCAGGGGAGGGACAAGACCTTTAAAAGGAGAATTATGAGGCGAGTGATTTTCACTCAGCCTCATAATCTGAGCCGACCTGTGACAATGAAACTGTAACAGGTCGGCTCAATAGATCGGAAAGTGAGCGAACATATACCGGCGCTCGCTCACTTCTCGATCTATCCGTGCAGAGAGCCGTGACTGTCACTCAAGGCGCCCAGCAGGGATCCCCCCTCCCCAGTCCGATCCTCCAGCGCTGACTGGCGGAACAAACGGGAGAGGGGCGGGTACAGCTGGCTCTGCCTCTAGATAGGCAGAGCCAGCTGTCACTCACGCAGCTGGGTGGATCCAGACAGTATTGTCGGGATCCGTTCCGCTGCGGCGTCTCAGTATACCGCGAGCTGTAGCTCGTGGTATACTGAGCTTTGGGTGATAGGAGGACGCTAGTTTGTGTCCTCCCGTTACCCTTAGGAGAACTATGGGGAAAAGCCCTAACCCCCCATAGTTCTCCTTTAAGTGTTGCTGAGATGCAGCAGCAAAAAATCAGGTCTCCTCCCCTCCCAGATAGGACTGTGCTATGTGGTAGAGCTGTGTAAATCTCAAGCCTATATAAATTACTGATTTTCAGACTGTTAAGTGTTGCTTTTAAGACCTCAGCACACAGGCTACAGGTGTACTTGTGCACCATATTGTGCATAACGTACACTTTCATTATGAGATGGCAACATAAGTAAAATATACTTTAAATTGCAGTTGATAGTTGCTTAACAAATGCAGATTAAAGTTCCCTGCCCTAAAAGAGGTATTATATTCACCTACCCAGCAGCCTGCATCTCCAACCTTTGCTTTGTTCCAACAGTGCAGCCTCTGTTACACTTTCCAGCATTCAGCATCTTCTAAGAGTGTCAGTTACCCATTTTGCCCATCCTGTATCCTTTTTACAAAATACATGTTGTTCTGTGATTGGACAGAGAGGGAAAGGGCAGATGAACGTCAGGACCTATCCTTGCCCAATCACAGTACGCCTTGTATTCTGTGAAAAGAATACAAGACATTTAATGAACGAAGGAAGGGGGAGAGCAAGTAACGCTCGCCTTGACTCTATGAGAGACAGAACTGTGATTTACAGTGCTGGGAGTTCAGCAAGGATGAATCAAAGTTATTAGTTTGCCTAACTATGCAGCCAGCCACCCATCATTAGCGCTAACTTATTTCTACAAAGGAAACATTCCAAAAAAATGTTTTCCTAGTGTTGAAATATAAAAAGCAAAAAAATTAAAAATATGAAAGAAATTGCCTGTTCTGGTTAGTTCCAACAAGAGCAAAGCATTTAAAGAACCCTCGGTTCTATTGAATTAGTTTGCATTGAGAGGATAGAACGCAAAGCTGGGATATAAGGGGAGACACCTGGAAAATATACTGCAATACATTATTCTCTTTGTGGCTCCACTGCAGACAGGTAAAGACCGACAAACTCACCTTTGAGACTGTGCGATTTGAATCGTCTGGTTAGTCTGAATGGCATGTATTGTTGGAATAGTCTGTATAGCTTGGATGGTGTGAACAGTTTGAATCTGCATTTGGTTGGTCTGAATCTGCATTTGGCTGCTTTGATTCTGGATTTGGCTGGTCTGATTCTGAATTTGGCCGGTCTGATTCTGAATTTGGATGGCCTGATTCTGAATTTGGCCGGTCTGATTATGAATTTGGATGGCCTGATTCTGAATTTGGCCGGTCTGATTATGAATTTGAATGGCCTGATTCTGAATTTGGCCAGTCCGATTCTGAATTTGGATGGCCTGATTCTGAATTTGGCTAGTCTGATTCTGAATTTGGATGGTCTGATTCTGAAATTGGTTGGTCTGATTCTGAAATTGGTTGGTCTGATTCTGTATTTGGATGGCCCGATTCTGAATTTGGATGGTCTGATGCTGAAATTGGTTGGTCTGATTCTGTATTTGGATGGTCTGATTCTGCATTTGGATGGTCTGATTCTGTTGGACAGGCCGCACAGTGGGAGGCGGCTCACTGGGTACAGGAGACGATGGCCCGGAGCCTCCAGATCCTGGCCGGAACGATGTACTTTTCTTTGCAACTTGCTTCTTGGACTGAGCCTGCTGGCTGTCAGAGCTGAAAAGAGAGACAGGCATCATTAACAATTTGCAGTGTTCTGCAGTAAGCTTGAGCCCAGAACTGGCCCTAAAAAAAATAAACCCTCCAGGTTTCCCCCAGCATTCCTGCATAAGCTCCATCAGTGATATATTGAAAAACTGCCCCAGTGACGGGAAAGTTCTGTGGAAAGTAAGTGAATCAACTGACCCACCAGAAATCCAGAGTTCTTGTAACTTCCTGTGCACTGAAACAATTTGTTAGCCCTGCCTGGATAAGGAGAACTTACTCTGTGTCGATAAGTTGTGGTGATGGGATCGACTGGGGTGAGCTTGGCTCTGTAGTTTTATAAGGAGATTCACTCCCAGTAAGATCGTGTGTGTACTGTACCACAGGTCCTTTACTCCGCACCGCACCTGCAAACACAACAAGAACGTCCATCAGATCTACTCTTCCATAAACTAGATCATTTCACAATCCAGGAACAGCGCCTGAGTGGTCTTCGGAACCAATCAGTGGCTGGAATCCAAACGGTTAAAGTTATACTTCTCTACAATGCCCTCTATGTCAACTCACCCACATTAGGACGTGTTCGCTGCTGTCCTGCCTGCTTTTTTTCTTGAGTGGAAGCTGTGGAGGTCTTCATGCTGAACATGGGCTCCAGGCGGGTGGAGCCTCGATAGATCCACTCACAACGCTTGTCATCCTGCAATTTGCAAACACGGGCAGTTTAATCATATTTAAGCCTTTAATTATACATTGAAGAGCACCCTAGAGCAGGGGAAGCCCAACACTGGCCCTCCATCTGTGGTAAAACTACAAATTCCATCATGCATCTGCCTCTGAGAGTCATGTCTGTCAAAGTCTTGCAATGCCTAATGGGATTTGTAGGTGCACCACAGGTGGAGGGCCAGTTTGCCTACCCCTGGTCTTGATAATAGTCAAATGCAAAAGTATAGGGTAAACTGCTACCAAGCCGTGAGCTGGGTTACCCAATGGAAGATCGTGTGCCAAATTCCAGCAGGGGCTCATCCTATCCTCCACAGACAGCACAATGGATGAGACTGGCTGCTGTCTGAAAACAATTGAAATGCTGGGACCTTTATTGAGATGGAATGCATTTATTAAATGGGGATGTGTTCATGTTTTCCAGAAGAATAAGATTATCAGTGTTAGAATTTTTCCTGGAGTGCGGCCGGTCCCTTCCTTTGGATTTGTACCATCTCTAAATGTTGCCAGTGCTTTTTTCTCATGGTTTTTAAGGGATAAGAGCATGTTTATTATAAAAAAAATAAAAATAATTCCACAGGGACTCCATACCATCCTCTGCACGTAAACGGGTGTATATAACTACACTACACTGTGAGAAAGCCATAGAGGTCAGTAAGGAAATCTCACAGGACAAGGGGATGGCATGGCAGTTGGTAAAGCTCAGCTATGAAGTTAGAGAAAAACAGGCCCAGTAACAGAGTGAAGCTAAATCAGAGGGGGGCAGAAGAAATACTTATGGCTAATTAAAGCAGATCTTCAGTGCACTAAACAACTTTTTCTCCCTGACCAACCCCCTACCCAATCCCCCCCCAACCAACTAATCGG